TACTTATATAATCCAGAAGTTTAGATTTTGCTCTGCCCAGTTGATCAGGAAAGTCATCACAAAGTTTTATTAATGTATCCCAACTGATATCTCTATTGGCATCAAACCACCTCCCAAATACTAGAATAAGATTGTTTTCTGCTGTTCCTGATATTTGCATCAGATCAGACACCTTTACATTCAATCCAGCCCCTATTAGCATGTAATGGCTAGCAGAAGGATTAAATATTTTTGTGACTGCTGCCATATTAAGCTCCTTTTCTATAATAAAGAATTAATTATACATTTTCTAGTATCGAGTAAGCTGCAAGTATAATTTTTACCTGCACCAAGTGTATGCTTTTGTGCTATAGAAGCAGCATTTTTTTCAGATTCAGCTACACTACAAAGAGTTAATACAACAATTAAATTTATTAAATATTACTGGTATTAATTTACCTTAAATCAGTCTCTTCTATTCCAATATCTTTTGTAAAATGTCCTTTGTCCCCTACAGAAATATTAGCTGTATTAAATGGTAGTACAGTATGTGAACTGACAATATCAGGTATAGACTGACCTAATGTATTGAGATATAATAAATTTATTGATCATTGATAGACACACACATACACACACACACTCACCTAACTGGTGCAATATAGCAGTAGCAATATCTGTTAGTGTACGATGTTGTTGGTTTAATAATACATGACATATATTGATAAGATACTGCTCTGGATTAAGAGAGGATTCCAACTGTCTCTCAATGACATTCACAAGTTTGCTAGATTTAGTATATTCATCAACTGCTCCTACAAGCATCTCTTGTCTAAATAGTTTTGGTATTAATCTCGCAGCATGAAGCTCATTTGTTATTTGTAATACATCAACAGAAATAGCATCAGTCAGTTTACTAGAATGAGTCTTTAATATATCCTTTGGATTACCTGCAATATAGTGCATTAAGTTAATGAGCTAGTGTTGTATTATTTAGTGTATACATGTTTACCTGTTATAAGACCAGGGCTAGCATCATTTAGTTTAGCTCCAGCAGACAGTAAACTTAGTACAATGTCCTCATGTCCTCTCTCACAAGCTAACATTAGTGCTGTCTTGCCTTCTTCATTAGTATGATCAATATTAACAGTTTCTAGTTGAAGAAGAAACTCTACTGCTTCATTATTGCCAGCTGTGACTGCCTCAAGGAAAGCTAGTTCAAAGGTGAAGTTCATATTCTCATCTTCTTGAAGGACAGGGTAATCATTAATGTATAAACTAAATATACCAATGAGACGCATAAACTGTAACTTTCCTCCAGTATATTCTATTAGACTATCAGCTGTAAAGTCAAAAATATAGAACTTGATGACAACAGATCCTTTAAAAATTGTTATATGTTTGAACAACGATTGTACAAATCCCTCTGGTAGCAAATTTTCAATTAAAAGTTTCAAACTTCTTAGACTATTACGACACCATGGATTATGAAGCTTTATAATAATATAAGGCATGTTAGTTAGATCTGAAATATGCTCCTGGTATATTTGCATTAATGATGTGTGAAGATGTGCCACATTAGTTGAAGATCGAAATGCATCGGCCTTTTTCTTGTGATTTTGTAGTTCACTCACAATACTCAGCTTCTTTTCACCAAAAGTGACATCACTCAGAAATCTTTGACTCAAAGCTACTATTAAGTCACAGTCAATAAAATCATAGTATGGATGAATAATTTTAAAAGTTTCATTTAACGATGTGTTTGTTAGTCTGTCACTCCAGTTCAAGTATCCCTCAAGCCATCTCGTTAAATTAGTCAGTAGCTTAGAATCTGTGGCTTCTTTTTCATCAAATGCTGTTTGTAATTCCATGACAAGATTAGTAAATGATTCGTTGAGCTCTTTCATTGTCTGTAAAACTTCTTTCTCATCTTCCTTTGTGTTAAACATTATTTCCTTTTTTTGTGTAGTACTCACAGCAGCTCCACTACTAACATTAGGTACTGAAGGGCGTCCTTCAATCATTTCTTTGATATTTTGTGCAAGAGTGTTTTCTCTTCTAATTGTCAATGCAGTAATGACATCACTCCATCTTGCCTCAGGAGAAACAGAAAGCCATTTTGAATACAACTCCCTCTTTCGATTGTTCATTTTGGAGTAATCAGCTTCAATTGTCGATATATCATGTTGTGTTATTCCAGGCAAGCAACAACCAAATGACTGCCAATCAATGAGTGGGTCAAGCCACTGAATTAATAATGAAATATCAGGTCGATCATCAATCAAAGGGCCAGGATTGCATTCTACATCTCCTGATAAGAGGAGGAGCATACGTAGACAAACAATCAAATAGAGATCATTGTAAATTAGGTTAGAACTGCTGCCTCCAGATAAGACTACTGACTGGAGGTAATTTGTATCAGTAACAGTAACACTAGTACAACATTGAACTTGGTAGCAGTTACCTAATAATACAATACCAGTAAATATACAAGTACAAAGTTGCAATTGTTGTTTACCTGTTGGAGGAATAATCAAGATGTGTCTTAACAAAGAGAGACAGTGAAAGAGAAGGACAAGGAGGAGGAAAGTAAGAGCTACTGGTAGTTTAGATGTCTTCTCTCCAGATGTAGTACTGCCTGAAATGCTGTCTACTGCAGCTTTGAATGAGTGAGAGTGGCGGCCATTAGCTGGTCTACTGGAGGCAGCTTGACAGTAGTTCCACAGTCCAATACTTGCTCTCCATTGAGAGACATCAATCATCTTATAAATTATAATGTACGTTGCACCAAAAAAAGTCCAGTTGTTCCTTTATTCAGACTCACTAATGGTTAAATGTACAGTAAAAGTGGGTGGATATGTACTGAACTATCATTGAATTATATTCATGGGTCATTTGGTGTTTTCTCATGAGAGTAGTGATTGTTTGCAAATACTCTACAACAGTTGTTTTTGTTGTGCATGACTAAATTTGGTCAAAATGCTTGACATATACTACTTAAAGTTTTAGAACCTTTATTTGACAACGGCACAACATTAAAAGTTAAAGGAACGAGGAATAGCAGGATAATAATGGGTGTATCAGTGTATGTGTGGTAAACAGAACCTCATGAAAATAGTTACTGGAAGTCTGGAACACACCAATAACACTGAATAACATTGATTTTTTGATATCATAATAACATTCAGTGGTTCCCTCATCTCATTCCCCAGACCCCTACAGTCATTTAGGCTGGGGAATGGTCTGGGCAACAAGACTATAATAGTAGTTCCTTATCCAGTCACTAATGGTAATTTGATAAAAGTGGGTGTAATTAGTGTGAATGAACTGTAATTGAATTATATTCATGGACCGTTATCATTTCCATGTAAAATAACTAGATAGATAGTGTTCCTCTACTACTGTTATCATAGTCATATTTCCATTTTTGACTAAATATGGTCATAATGCTACTCCAAGGATTGAAAGGGAACATTTTGACAAACAGATACCAATCCTGATGAAATGTGTGACATTTTTAATAGAAGCACATTATTGTACAGTGTGAATCAAAGTTAAAAATAATATCTTATCTTCGTCATATTTTCTCTCCTTCTAAATTAGACTAGAATTGTTCAGATCTGTAGATTCCCTCTCTTTCTCTTTCTTTATTTCTTCAGTTTTTGTTGGGTCAGGCACGTTTCATTAATGACTGGTTGCTATGGAAACCATGAGGCAATAATATCTGATATTATCTGTAATAAAAATGAAAAAAATTTAATAGCAAACTTTAATTTGGTGAATTTGAGGTCACATCCATTAAGCATGCACATACTGAAGAAAATCGCCAAATTTCCCCTCCAAAATTACCAGTTATGTAGTTACTATAGTACACAGTGTTAGTGTGTGTGTGTGTGTGTACATTGTCAGTTTGGTTGTGTTTAGCCCAACAGGAATGAGTATATAAATATATAGGAAAATCTCAGTATTGACAATAAAACAATGATAATAATAACAACAATTAATAAAAAGCAATTATATTAATTTGAATGATGGTCACACATGTAATTATAATCACTGTTAGATCTAGAGGGAGTTTAGGAGGCTTTGGTCTCCCATATTTGGTCTAGGCCTCCTGAAGAAAATGCAGACAGCAAGTGTGTGCCATCACTATTACACATACTCGCTGTCAGTACACAATAAAATATTAGCACAAATCATATACCATTGTATTATACAGTATAGACACACATGTACACATACAATGTATATACATGTAATACACAGTACACATGAATGAATGACCATATAATTTAGATTCTAATTATCAGCAGAAGGTGGTTGTTGGTTTAGAAGCTATCATGTATTGATTTCTAGCAGGAGCCCTGTTTCTAGGAAAGATTAACATCTGGTGACTAAAAACACTCCCACCTAACAATCTCATCACCCTGCCAGATTCACCCACAACCAATTATTAGTATATACTAGTGAACAATAAAGAATAAGTTTCAGTCACTTATAAATTTGGTCTCTACATTACAATATAATACTACACTCATTCTAACAATGAATGTTTCTATAAACTATCAATAACTCATAATAATAGAGACAAATACAGTTACATGCATGTATCTGTGGATAAAACAGCAATCAAATACTCTAAAGTATCTTTGACATAATCATGTACATGAATCTTATCATGTCTACATTAAAAAGGGGACAGGCAGTCGTATGTACAATGCAATTGCTGTTTATTATAAGAATTAACAATTTACTATTGAATTGTAAATGGCCGGGCCTCAGTATACTAAGGATATACTGCTCAGTATACAGCAGTATACTCTCCCAATGCCAAAAAAACAGAGAAATAAAATACACCGTGTAGTACATCGTACCAGCAGTTTGTGTGAACCAGTATAAAATTATATTCTTGTCAATGTATAGTAGACCATACAAGCACAAGAACTACAGCATAATGAACAAATTCAAATGCATATTTATGATGATAACATATCTTATACTACTAATATTAGGTGACTCACCAATTTAATTTAATTAGATCAAGTGACTTGTGCTCCTACAACAAGTGATTCACCAAAGCCGTACAAACTTTAAATTAGCTTGTTCCATCCCTCATGATGGAAAAGGGGTTTAGCATCTAGCTACCTCAATAAATCTATAAATATTATTAATAATACAAAATAAAACAAATCTTATGCACTCAGAACCAAAATCACACACACAATAGATATAAAAGACTATATTACACATGCATTAATTATTAATCAATAATATTTACTGTTTTCTGCTTGTTCATATTCTCCTCTTTTTTAATTTTCGGAGCTCTTTTAGTTTTTGCTTTTCAGTTCTCACTACTTGATTCATAGATATTAGATTGAATTGACGGAACTCCACCCACAAGCTAGGCAAACCACACCTATTTTATTTTCAAGTTTTTAACCCTCAATATGGCTGCTCATTTAAAGGGTAAATTTTGAAATACCATTTTATCTATCATTATTTTAAGGGTTTTTATTATAGGTAATAACTAATTTTTTGTTACCTTGTTTGTTATTGATCCACTGAAAAATAATATGCAATTGGAACAATGACTGGTAAACAATAATTAGTAATTTTTACATGGGGGTGGTTAAAATGATGGGTTACATGCTTGTTACATCATACAATCATCAATGGTCAATTTATTACTGAAGATCATGTACACAATGAATTTAGATATTGTAATTTTTGACACAATTTCTTTACACATACATGTACATGTACATGTGTACATGTAATACACATACATAATTATACTGTTTATTCCTTTCCATTTTTTAATGTTTTTTTTTCATTTTACATTGTTAGTTGGAGGCTAAAAGAAAAGCTGCTGTTAAGGAGATATTGTTCAAAGCTAAACAAGACAAGAGGTAGCAGCTGCTTCAGGAGAGAGCGAGAGAGAATTACGAGAAACACTATCAGATCTGTCGCTCTATCATACTCCAAATGGTTGACCTAAGCACAAAGATTGGAGAATATAGGGAACTCACCCAATGGTATGTACATGTACATGGAGAACCAAATAGAAGCTGTTATACATGCATACATGTACATGGTAGATGTACATGTAGCTATATGATAATTATACGTGTACATGTACATGTACATGTTTAAGTCTTTTTCTATTTTACATTTCCCCCTCTATCTCACCCACTAGTGCTATACTAGTTAAGATGATACGTGATTGGAAACTATTGTTTCTATTCAATAAACCACTTTATGAGGACAGTGGTCTTGTAACTGCTACTGAAGAGGAAGAAGGAGAGAAAGGGGAAGGAGAGAGAGAGAAAGGAGGAGAGGGAGAGAGCATCAGTCTCCAATCTACTAGTACAGTTGATGATAAAAATGCAGAAGCTGATGATATACTTGATGATGCTGATTTACAAGAATATCTAGTAATTTTACATGTACATGTACATCTATTTTACTCATACATGTACATGTACATGTACAGTACATTGAATCATTGTTTCCCACAAAGCATGCTAAGTGAGCTAAACAGCATGAGCTTCATGAGCTGACAAGCACTACAATACAGTACATGGCATTTGGAGCAACTTTAAAAATTCATAAAAAATCCAAACTTTATTGGAATCAGTTCAAACTTTCCATGCAGCTTAAGAACATGTATATATATCAGAAAAAATTATAAAAATGAAGAATTCTCTCCTAGCCATTTTTGATGAAATTTGGCCTGACACCAAGGCTATAGCCTTGGATCATTTGCCCGATTTTTGAGCAACTTTAAAAATTCATAAAAAATCCAAACTTCATTGGAATCAGTTCAAACTTTCTACGCAGTATAACTATAAGAACATGTATATGTATTAGAAAAAAATTATTAAAATGAAAAACTCTCTCCTTGTGAATTTTCTACCCTGTACTATAGTAGCTGCAGGTTCTATGGCCCAAATTTTGAGCAACTTGACAACTGATTGACTGAAATTACACATGTACATGTATCTTTTGAATAATAAAATTATATTATTTATTTTTATACAGCAAGTAACTAACGAGTGGTCCAGTGACAGTACTGAGTGTCCTCATCCTCCTAATATGGTGTTGTCTCATATTATGTATCGACTCATTGAACTAGTCAAACCACCTCAAGTAAGAAATACATGTATTACATGTACATGTACATGTACAGTACAATGGTATCTCATGTACATGTATATACACTGTACATGTACTGTACATTGTTTTTCATCATGTTTTTTTCTCTTTCTTTAGCCTCCTTCCAATCCACCGTCACTGCCTAAGTTTTATCTAAGAGGATCATTCGTTGGTCTCCCATTCACTAGAAAAACTTCATCACTTAAATACATCAATGAAAGTACGACTACACATACATATGTATATGTACATGTATGTGTACATGTACATATACATGTATAAACACATTATACATTGCTATTGGTATATTGGACAACTACTGTACATGTACATGTACATATACATGTACATACTGTATGAGCTTCATTGCATTATTGATAAAGTAATAAAATATTGACAAAAAAATTATTTTAAATTTTTTATCAAATATTAATTAATTTATATTTGATATTATCAATATCAATATTATCAATTTATTGCTATTTATCAATTTATTACTGAATCGGGCCAACGACCAAAGGCTATAGCCTTTGATCTTGGGCCAAATTTTGTCAAAAATGACTAGAAGAGAATTCTCCATTTTTATAATTTTTTTGATACATATACATGTTTTTATGTTGTGTGGAAATTTTGAGCTGATTTTGATCAAAATTAGATTTTTAATGAATTTTTAAAGTTGTTCAAAAATCGGGCCAACGACCAAAGGCTATAGCCTTTGGTTGTTGGCCCAATTTTGGGCTAAATTTTGTCAAAAATGATTAGAAGAGAATTCTCCATTTCTATAATATTCTCTAATACATACATGTTCTTATGCTGTGTATCAAGTTTGAGCTGATTTTGATCAAATTTGGATTTTTTATGAAATTTTAAAGTTGCCAAAAATTGGGCCGCCAAAGCAATTCAGCTAACACTCATGTGCTGCTCACGAAGATAAATATTTCATTATCAAGTGATAATTAGTCAAAGACAAAGCAAAAGGACCTACCATATAGTACTTTATTTTGGCGATTTGGCTGTAAAATTATAATTGGTGGTTTTTAATTTGGCGATTTGTGTACACGTGCATTACTGAGCATACGCATTAATGATTGGCGGTTTTAATATTGGGAATTCTGCTTGCAAATCGCTAATTGCCAAAATAAATATCTGCCAAATTAAAGCACTATATGGTATGTCCTGTTGTGTATTTAGTTCACTCATTGAAAATTAAAGTGTCCAATGTCAATTTTAATAAATTGTTCTTTTAAGGTATTATTCTATGACTAAGAAATTGACCTGATTTACATTAAAACTTGAAAGACACCTGTGTCATCTTTACTTGCTTGCAGGTAGTCATTACAAGTGAGTTCATAATGTTTTTCAATAATACATGTACATGTTTAATTATGCATGTAGGTGACTAGCATTTACATGCATGTTACCTACCTTAGAGTGACTTTTAATTGCGGGTACTAAATTTTGCGATTTTAGCACAAAGTAGATTTTGCTGGTATTAAAAATTGCGATTAAGTAATTATTACTAATAGTTATATGGCATCATGATGTCATTATTAATAATTGCACGTATTAATAATTGTGATTTTTAACCCAAACGCAAAATTCGCAATTAATAGTACCCGCATTTAAAAGTAACCTTAAGGTAATTTTATTTCTTTTTAATTCTTATTTCTAGGTCAGTCTTTAATACTGGATAAATGGCATTCAAAAACTGACTCGTTTTAACTGTAGACGTGCAACACACTTCTATGCTTTCAGTTTCAAAGAATTTGCAGTTGAGAGTCAATGCGGGGCAAAGAAGAGCTGGACAAGGAATTGCTGGATCACTTTCCTTCTCAACAAGTATTATAACTATTCGACTAGTAAAATCTCTTATTGAACGTACACAAAATTTTTTGATTAAAAGATAATTCTTTTTTAAAACTAAAATAACTTGTTTAAAATGAAAATGATAGGTTTCTAATTCCTTCTTAACTATCTGAGGTAATAATAATAGTAAATTATTACTTTGTATTGTAATTGACCCCATGTCTGTATCTCACACACTAGTTATTCTTTGTTTTTACTATCTCACTCACTAGTTACTAACAGCAGTGTTTAATTCTTCTACATGTATTTTAAGTTTCAATTAATTTTATTAAATTAACGTCCACTATTGATAGTGGTTTGCCTGGTTGCTCATTTCTCCGTCTCTCAATCAATGTCATCTCTTGAT